GACCCAATCTTAGAGTCAGTTTTAATGACTCTGTTCATCCCCCATATCTAGTCAGTTACCAATAAACACAGTGTTTTAGTATTTCTAAAGCATGCTATGATTCCAAAATAAATTCTGTGGTAAATAGTACAAAAGCTTTACTGCTCCCATTTTACAGATGCAAATAATAATGACAGCTCACATTTATATCACACTATAAAGCTTACAAAGCACTTTCTCAAGAAACAAAGGCTCAAAGTAGAAGTGGCTTATCCAAAATTGCACAGCTAAGTTACAGCTCTGGAACTCAAACTTATCTGCCTTCACACTCACCTTTCTCTCTCTTCACCACCCCATTATAACAAATTCCAAGTCCTATTGATTCTACCTCCAAAAATTTTTTCAATTCTATTCTCAGCCCATCTCCTTCTACCACCATTTTTCAGGTCCCTATTTTCTCTTTTTCCAGACAAAGTTCTAATTGGTCTTCCCACTTCTCATCTCTGGCTTTCAGATTAGCTGAAACCCCACTATCAGATTAACCTCCAAGATATTATTCCATGTTGATGCTACTGCCTATATGATAACTTTCAATAGCTCCCACTGCTAACTCGATCAATTTAACATCAAAGGATGTGGACTTTAAAACCCTTCTCATCTTAAACTACCTTATCTTATTTTCCTTTCTTTCCTGGAGCCCCCATGTTCTAGACAAAACTTGACCATTCATCTCACCCTCAACATGTTCTATGCTTCTCTATGTCTTTCCATGGCTTTTACTGCTACCGGAAAAAGCCCTTCCCTCACCCCCAATCCCTGCCTAATAAAATTTTACAAGTCCCTTATGGTCCACTCAAAAGTGATTGCTTCCTCCTCTGAGATGCCATAAGACACTATAGACTTTGTACCTCTTAAGTAATTATCACATTCCACCTTATACATGCTTATTTCTGTATATCTCTTTTTTTTATAGTACTGAAAGGCCCTTGAAGGCAGAATATGTACCATGTTTATCTGATAGCATTTAGCAGGCATTAATAACTAATAAAAAGAATAATAGTAATAGTGATTATAATAATATTTACATAGCACTTTAAAGTTTGCAAAATGCTTTATAAAAATTATCTCATTTTAACCTTGAAACAACCCTGGAAGGTAGATGCTCTTTATCATCTCCATTTTGCAGATGAGGAAACTAAGGCACAGAGGAGTTAATCAGCTTGCTCAGGATTACACAGCTAGTAAGTGTTTGAGGCTGGATTGGAAATCAGGTCTTCCTAACTCCCGGTCCAGCACTCTATACACTGAACGACCTTACTGCCTAAATGGATACAAAGATGCTGCTGAATGAATCCATTTTGATAGGACTTACTTTTAACATCACTGAGTGGAGCAAGGGCAGAGAGAGGAGGAAGAGGCTATTGAATGAAGATTCAATGCTGAAGTGACATACATATTTTGCTTAAGTCCTCAAGGCATAAACAACTCTTCTATTTAGGACTATGACTCTTAAAATTCCTTTTTATAATGTCTCTCACAAAACGTTTGCTATATGGAAAGTTATTGATATGAAAAAAGAAAAGAACTAGTTTGTTTCAGGAAATCATTCTCTGCCATACAGACTTAGGGTAAACCAAACCACCCTTGCCACTTCCCTTTGGAAGGTATTTCTTTTTCACTTTGCCAGCTGTAAAACAGGAAGAAAGAAGACTTATCCATACTACAGTGGAAGTTTGGGTCCAAATCCTGGCTGTTTCTCTTACTAACTATGGATCCTTGGACATTCACTTAACCCCTCCTATCCTCAGTTTTCTGATCTATCAAAAAGGAGGGAAGGGTCATTCAGGCCTTCAACAACCCTGTAATAATTGTCCATTGTGTGCTTAACTGTATGATAAATTTAGATGACACACAGTCCTTGAATTTATAATTCAATAAACTTGTCCTATGTGGATTTAACTAAATGAGACACTATGTTAAAATATACTATAACCATAAAATGTAAAGTATTACTATATTGAATGAGAGGCAACATGGTATAATGGAAAAACTTCTAGGCTTACAATCATGGCACTGCCACTTATTTGTCAGACTCTGGGCAAACAATTTAAACCTTAGGGCCTCACTTTTCCTATTATAAAATGGAGAAAATAAAACTCACATTAACCTACCTCACTGAATTGAGGAATGTCCTTCTTTAAATTACAAAAAGCTATAGAAATATAAGTTATTAAGATCCCTGAAGTCAGAAACCAAATCTCAAATATCAATCTTTGTGCCTGGTATAGCATTCAATATTGGTTATGCTTAATGATATGGGAACATTTTTAATATTTACATATCATTTTACTATATTAATATTACCACTTTTCCACCACTTTTCTTTCCACCATGTATTATTCAAGCACTACCCTAAATTTGTGGCACCATACGTGGGCAAAGTTGATACTTAAAAAAAAAATCCACAAACCATCATGTCATGTTAACTGTACTTTATCAACTCTGGAATAACTATATTTTTTTTCTAATGTGCATCTTCAAAGGCAAAACATTATACATTAAATTTCTCTTTCTCAATGGTTAACATTATATTTCTATTCCCATTTTACATATAAAAGGAAACCTGACAAAATTAAGTACAGAAAGATTTACAGAGTCATCACTTTGGTACTGGTAGGTAGATTAAAACTTTTTCTAACACAAGAGCTATATAGACCATTTTTGTACTGAAATTTTGTAATACAAATTTTTATATCACAAAATGGCAAACAGAATTAAGTTCATTTAATTAAACTGAATCAAATTTTGCACCTCAGTCACAGTTCTGTAGGAATAGAAATCCTCCGTTTCTTAATTCATTAAGACACTTCTGCCAGCACTTAGCACAGTACTTGGCACATAATATACATTTAATAAGTGTTTATTGTCTGGCTGACTACTACAGAAATCAATTCCTCTTACACCTAATTTAGCTCATGTTACCAAGAACTAAAAAAGGTGTTTTTTTTTTCAGAAGTGCTGTTCCAACTTCAGGTTTGGTAAGAAGACAGAAAGAACCAGGAAGTGAACTAGGTTTCCAATTTACCAAATACAACTGGTCGCTGTCATGGTTACAATCAGATGAAACAACTCAATTCAGTTCTTTTCCACTTGAACAAGTATAGGAAGGCAAATATTGTACTTGTTAATCTCAGGTCTGAAAGGGGTGGTGCTTAGAAGACAAACTCAAGCAGGTGACATTGGAACCCATTAAAGTTAATAAAGTTTGAAGTTTGTGGAAAGGCACAGTTTCTGTGGTACAACAATCACCAATAATAAAGATTGCCAGTCTGTACTTTGAAACCAAATAATTACATATTTTCTTACATAGATACTTAAGCATTAATCATTTATTAATTTTTAAAAAAGATTTGATAAATCTGAATAAAGAAAACTCATTAGAAGCTTGTAGCCTTTTAGTAATTTTCATATATTGATTTTCTTAAATGATTTACAGATGTAATAAGAGTTCACCCTGTCAATGTTAGGGCCTGTTCCTTATTTTTTTTTTTTAGTTATTGTTTTTCTCATCTAGCCAGGGTCAAGCTAAGAAAAAGATGAAACAATCCAAAGGGAAGAGAGCCCTCATATTATTTTAACAGCAAGGTAAAGCACCTTGGGATACATCACTTATCAACCTAGGCAAGCTAGAGTGTTTCAGGGTTCAGGATTTTAAAGTCAATCCCAATTGTATACCAATTGTTTTGCAAGATCACCAGGACTTTAAGCTGGAAAGGACCTCAGAGGTCATCTAGTTCTAATCCACCTGCCTGCTTTTCAGAAAAGGATTTAATTTTTAAAATAACAAAAGTTTCCTCCTAAACTTCTTCACTCTCTCTGCCTAATTCCTCTGATACTGTAGTAAATCATTCCTTAAAATGTTACAGTGAGAGCCACATCGGATCTAGCATGAGAAGGAAGAGGAAGAAGGCAATGGGGTTTTCCCTAAAGGCAAGACTGAGCCCTAGAACTTGGCTCACCAGAGAGAGACCACTCATTCATTCCTTGTCTGGTTTCTTCCCAGGTGTAGTTTCCTTCCACTAGTCTGAAAGAATACTTTGTGTCATGTGGTACATTTTTAGGGAGGGAGACGAGCATTTAGCCAACCAAAATGCTGGGTTTTCCATTCTACGATTAAGGAGAGAAAGGGCTTAACTCCACCTCACCAAACATCCAAACAACAAAGCAGAAAAGTTTGCATTTCAGAAATTAAGAATTAATGGAGACATCTCGCAAAACCTTGGAAGAGAAATTTAATTCTGAAAATGGAAGCCAAAGGGGCAATACTCAAATTTCCTAAGGAATGGGCAGGCCAAAAAATGACAAAACAAAAGTGAAGAGTAAAAAGATTAGATAGCTATAACTATCTCGTGTCATATCAACAGAGTGCTTTAAAATGAGTGAAAAAACACCACAGAGAGCATGGGAAAAGCAAGCGGGGGCGGAGGATTACTGATTTCACTTGAGTTTAAGGGAGAGGTAAAATCACTGATCTTGAAATTAGAACACCTGACTTACAGGCGCAGCTTCCACACTCACTTAGCTGTCTGACTGGGTAAATTTGCATCCTCCCTGAATATTTATCTCCCTCCTCAGTGAATTGGAGGTAAGCCTTCCACTAACTACCTGGCAGAGTGGGAATGTGCTGTGTAACCTTAAAGGGCAATGTGAAGATGAGTTATTAGAGTTCATTTCTCCCTTTAGTGTAATTAACAATGCATCCTAATCAAAAGGTCAGACATTCTCATACACAACTCTTACTCTCTGAACTTGCTTTCTCGGCTCAGTTCTATCCAAGGACTTTGAAAGACTGAAATGGAAAGGGACGGAGGAAGAGTGATGAAACTTTTAGAGGAAAAAGGTAGAGTTCCACCTGCCACCTCTGGGGTGAAGAAAAGATTGAAAGAAGGAAACCTAGAATGGAAAATTAAAAAAAATTTAAAAGAGAGAGTTATCTTTCCCTGCCCCCGTTCCTTACTTACCTAGGGATGAACTTGGCTTCCTCCCCGAGCCGGATTTGGAAGTCTTGCCACCCTTGACCCACGCTCTCCATGCCCCACTGAGCAGCCAAAGCCATTGCGTCTCCCTCCTCTCCTTCCTTATCCGTCTCCACCGCAACTACAGCCTGCGCCAGCTCCAGCTGCGGCGGACGCTCGCCCCAGCTCCGCCGCCGCCGCCGCCGCCGGCTGGCCCCTTGGAAGCCCCGGGCGAACTCCTGGAAGGTGATCGCCCCGTCACAGTCAGCGTCCAACCTCTGGAAGATCGCTTCGGCTTCTTCGGGCCGGACCTTCAGCTCGGCGCACAAGGCACTGAACTCTTCGCGTTCGATGCGCCCAGAGCGATTCGCATCGCAAGCAAAGAAGAGGGAGCGGAGCCGGGAGATTTCCTCTGGTTGGCTGTCTGGCTCCATCCCGCCTCGGTTCGGTCCTGTTCCGTCCCAGGAGGCTCAGCAGCCCCTGCAGACGGCAGCCACCCACTGGGGCTCGTTGCCAGTCTCGCCCCCTCCCCCTGTCCCTGGGCAGAGAGTTTGGGGGAAGATCTGGGGACACCTGCTGGGACTGCCTGCGAGTTTGGCTGGCCTGACTAGTTCTGTCACTTGAGAAAAGGTCCCGTCAGGACAAAAGCGCTTCTGTGGCTGAGCTTCCAATCAGAAGCTCCTGCTGGTCGGTTACCCCCTTGTAGTGGTATTCCGCAGACCAAAGGCGCACTACTCTTCTCAAACTGAGCCAGACTCCTGAGCTGACTGGAAGAGGATTGGCCCAAGCCGGGCCCCAGTAGTAGCACCGGCTCAACTGAGAGCGCAGCAGCTGCTCCCAGGCCAGCTTTCCCAGGAGCCGCTCTGCTGCTCCTCCCCTACTCAGGACTTCCCCAAGACTAGGGCGGAGTGAGGAGTCTCGGATCCCCTTGCTCTTGAAGCTCTCTTGGGAGTGGGGGGTGGGGGTGGTGATTCTCAGTTCTTCTAAGAACTGAGAGTGGGGAGAAAGGAGGAGGAAATAGCGGGAAGACTGCAGGTGTAGGGGGTCTGGGAGGCGGCAGCTTCTCCCTGGGAGAACCTCAGTTTCCTCTCGCCCCACCTCTCACCCAGCTGTTAGTCTTCAGGTCAGTCCGTGCATTGTTCAACCCAGCCAAGTGCTCCGCATGCCAAGGCGCTCTGCTGGCAAGGGCGAGGGGAGGTACTGAACCAGAAAGGAAAAGGAAGGGGGACAAAAATTACGTTCTTATCAGCAATTTCGTCCGCCTGGTGACACTCAACTTTCTCTGTCCCAAATCCCGTGATGCTAGTACGCCAGTCTTGCTGCTACAGATTCTGTATTGCTCCTGCCTCCCAGGAAAATCGAGGCAAGATCTTGCCTAATATCAGGCAGTTTGTAAATGCAAATTATAGTATCTGAACAAAAATAATTACAGTTCTGTAGTAGCAGCCTTGGAGGCCCAATAATTTGACAAGTTATAGGCCAGGGAAAAAAGAAGGGAGGGAGGAGGGAGGAAAAGAGAAGGAAGGATGGGTGGATGGATTACTGTCGTCAAGAAGCTTAGATCATGATGATGACAAAATAAGAGATAATATGCCTTATAAAACTCACTTTCCCAGTCTAAAGGCAGAAGAAGGATGGGTAGAGAAGCTTGCATCATCATGATGATAAAATAAGAGATAATATGCCTTATAAAACTCACTTTCCCAGTCTAAAGGCTGAAGAACAGAGGAGACTCTTGCTATTTATAGCCTAACTAGATTTCTGGAATTTTAGTGGTTATACTCTGATGCTTCTTTGTGACCCAAAGGTGACCATAGGTGCTTGAAGAGAATGCCAGCAGAGTGAAAGTATTAACAGGGTCTGTCATGAGGGAAAGATGTCTTGTAAGGTTCCTGGACAGTGTCTGCTATCCAAAGACCATCCTTGCTAAGGGCAGAGATATTCATGACAAGTCTTGAAATGAGAAATACAGAACGACTTTCATTCTTGAGCAGCCCCTTTCCACTTCTATAGGAACAGTGGGAAAGTTAAGGGAGTTAGGGAGTATTATGATAGAGACAGTTTTAAGGCCATGAAAAAAACAATAACTTAAATTTAATACTCTAAATGTGAGATCATTGTCACTGGATCATAGATTTTGAGCTAGAATAACCCTAGAGATTTTCTAGTCCAAATCCCCCATTTCACAAGTGAGGCTATTGGGACCTAAATAATATAAAGCTAAATAATTTGCCCAGGGTCTTATATCTAACAAATACTGAAGAAAAATTTGAACTTAGGTCTTTCTGACTCAAAGCTCAGAATTCTGTCAAGTTGCCTTTTCTAATTGAAATACTACTGCAGGCATAAGATGTATGGTTTCAGTATATGGTTACTCTTTGCACTGCCAAAGAACCCAGAGGAGATAAGAAAGATGCAGATAAATAGGATAGCTCAGTTTCTATTTGGAGAGACAAATAAAGGAGATGGACATGTTGGTTTCCTTCTGTGTCCAAAGGAAAAAAGAAAGAACATTTTATGGGACATACTTGGTCATCTTATATTTGCAGTGAACATAAGTAAAAAGATCACCATGAAGATAAGTATAGTTTTTGCACAAATATTTGTTGAAAATAAGAAAAGGAGGTTGAGAAGTTCTACAAAGAACTTGATGAAAGTCTTCCAAATGAAAGCATTATCTATTTGATGACTTCAATCCAGAAGTGGCCATAGAGGAAGGCAGGGGGAAAATGTTGAAAAATATGGCTTGGGATGAGAAACAAAATAGCCAAAGAATGATAGACTGTACCAAGTAGAGCATCACATCTTTTTTATTATATGAAGAATACTTCCTTCAAGAGGAGAGTCAGACAATGGTGAGCATCAAAACAAAGACAAAAAGGGAAACAACTCAACAGGGAAGAAACAACAAATGTAGGCAAACCCAGCAATATGGGTACAATCAGCCCCACAACTTGTTAAACTAAAGATCAAAATCAAATTAGAAAAAAGGATGAAGAGGAGAATAATCGTGCATTACCTGACCTATTAAACTAACAATACTGAATTATAATGGATAAAGGAACTTAGAACACCAAGGAATATTACAAAACTTTCTTACAAAAGTTTAACTGGCACGAAGCAATCAATGCAACAATGCCAAAGAAGCCTTGAAAGCTTTTCAGCCAATAAACTGTTGATTTCCTTGCCAAAGAGATTTGAAAGCCAACTGCAACACCAGTTTAGGCTATAAACTAATTTATGAAACCTCAACTAGTATGATGGCAGAAGATTAATGAACAGTGTGGCCTTATAAAACCTTGAGAAGCAGTGGAGGGAAAACTATATTTAGAGACATTTTGTCATGCATTTAGGCAGAAATCCATTTAAGGCAAATCAAACCAAGATTATCTGAGGGTGAACCTAAAAGCAAAGGAAAAAAAGAAAAAATGGGAAAAATCTGTCAATATCCCTGTAACAGTTTCTTTATCAATTTATACCGTATCATTTCAGATCCATTTGTGCTATATGAGAAAGCAATAATGGCTTTATAGAAAATGAAGACAGGAAGGGTAGCTGAGGTTCCATCTAGCTCTCAAATTCTGTGATTCTGTGAAGTGTACACAGGGGAGTTCTCTACTGGAAGTGATACATTTTGAGAGTATAAAGAAATCAGTTCAATTCACAATATCTGAAAAGGACAAAGATGTCAAACACCTTGAAAAAAATCTCAGGTGGTATTACCACCTAATAAATTAATCAAAAGGATATCAATAACTATTATCCAATATACCTAGTTTCTCACCTCTGTAAAAAAGAAAAAAAGCTCTGAAAATGATCAACATACATGGAGAACATTTTTACTAAAATTTGAAGAGAATAGGCAGATTTTTGCAAATGACATTCTACAGCATAAAACACTTTAAGTGTTAGAAAGGCACAGCAAATTTTATTGGTTAACTAAAAAATCACTTGATTTAGCAGAGCAAAATGTAGGCACAAAGGTTCTCCTTCAATAAGGTGTCAGCTATGCACATGTCAGTGTTCTTAATAGATGTAAAATTCCTTTGATCATCCTCATTAAAAGATATATACTAACCAAATATATTTTCCACAGTCATGGAGGATGACCAGTTCAGAATCCAAATAAAAGAGGCATTTCATATGGATGATGAAGTCCTCAATAGATTCCCTTTTACAGATGGTGTTTTGCTCATTTCAAGCCCCACAATATTATAGAGCTTCCTAAATGAGATTCAGAACCACTCAAAAGAGTTCAGCGTAGCAATCTACATGAGAGAAACCAAGTTGAAAAATACCCATTTCCAGATAATAATAGATAGCAATTATAAAGCACTTTACAAATACTGTCTTATTTGATTCTTATAACTGCCCTGAAAGGTAGGTGCTGTTGTTATCCCCATTTTACAGATGAGAAAACTGAGTCTGAGAGGTCATCATTTGCCCAAGGCCATACAACTAGTATCTTTGGCAGCATTGAGCTCAGGTTCTTTTAACTACAAGGCCAGCATTTGGGATGTGCAGCGTATTGAATGGATTTGTCAATGTAAATATCTTGGACAAACATTAAAGGTGGAATATTGATTTGCATTGAGAATTAAATAGCAGGCCAGATTACATTTGGGAAATCACGCAGCACAGCTATTTCAATGACCCAAAGTTTCTCTGTGAAACAAAGACCCATCTTTGCGTGTGCACCCCCCCCCATACGTATATATACATATATATACTTAATCTTAACATTCACTTTTTAAATTTTTGACTTCCTCTAGCATTTCTAATACAATATTGAACAATAGTGGTGATAATGGGCTTCCTTGTTTCACCTCTAATCTCATTAGGAAGGCATCTAGCTTAGTTTGCCCTTAGTTTTAGATAGATTATATTTATCATTTTAAGAGGGACTCCATCTATTCCTGTGCTTTCTAGTGGTTTTTTTTTTAATAAGAATGGGTGTTTATTTGGACAAAACTTTTTCTGATCTATTGATGCAAGAAGATTTTTGGTTTTGTTTTTTTTTTATCGATATGGTTAATTATACTTATAGTTTTCCTAATATTGAACCAGCCCGCATCCTTCCTGTAAATTCCACCTGGTCCTAGTATACGATCTTTGTGATATACTATTGTAATTTACTTGCTAATATTTTATCTAAAATTTGTGCATCAATATTCATTAAGGAAACTGGTCTATAGTTTTCTTTCCCTGTGTTTTGCTCTCCATGGTTTAGGTATCAAAATCACATTTGTGTCATAGAAGGAATTTGGTAGAACTCCTTCTTTACCTGGCTTTTTAAATAGTTTACATAGTACTGAAATTAATTGGTTTCTTTTTAAATGTTTGGTAGAATTCACTTGTAAATCTATGTGGTGGTAGGGATTTTTTCCTTAGGGAGCTCATTTATGGCTTCTTTAATTTCTTTTTCTAAGATAGCATTATTTAAGTATTCTAGTTCCTCTTCTGTTAATCTGGGCAATTTATATTTTTGTAAATATTCATCTTTTTCACTTAAATTGTCAGTTTTATTGGCATATAATTAGGCAAAGTAACTACCAATAATTGCTTTAATTTCATTTTCATTCATTTCATTTTTGATGCTGGTAATTTGGTTTTCTTTTTATAATCAAATTAATGAATGGTTTGTTTATTTTATTGTGGTTTTTTTCCATAAAACCAGGTCCTAGTTTTATTTATTAGTTCAATTTTTTTAACTTTCAGTTTTATTAATCTCTTCTTTGATTTTCAGGATTTCTATTTTGGTGTTCAATTGGAGATTTTTAACTTGTTCTTTTTCTAGTTTTTTAGTTGCATGCCCAATTCATTGATCTACTCTTTCTTTTTTTTTTATTGATGTAAGCATATAGAGATATAAATTTTCCTCTATAATTCTAACAAAATGTGGCATGTTGTATCATTATTGTCATTTTCTTCAATGAAATTATTGATTGTTTCTGTGATTTATTCTTGGTCTCACTCATCCCTTAGGAATAGATTATTTAATTTCCAATTAATTTTTAATCTTTGTTTCCAAAGTCCTTTATTGAATGTAATTTTTGGCATTATGGGCTGGAAAGAATGCATTTAATTTTTTTGCTTTTCTACACTTGGTTATGAAGTTTTTGTATCCCTAATACATGGTCAATTTTTGTGAAAGTGCTATGTACCACTGAGAAAAAGTTATACTCCTTTCTATTCTGATTCAGTTTTCTTCAGGAGTCTATTGTATCTAACTTTTTAAAAAGTCTATTACTTATTCATTTTATGGTTAGATTTATCTAATTTTGTTAGGGGGAAGTTGAGTTCTCTTACCAATATATTTTACTGTCTCTTTCCTCTTGTAATTCATTTAACTTTTCATTTAAGAATTTGGATGTTAAACCATTTGGTGCATGTATGTTTAGTATTGATACTACTTCATTGTCTTTGGTGCCTTTTG